CACACACACACACACACACACACAAACCCTTCAACATAAACGTGGGTTTGATGGGATAACATTGCCTGTGTGTCGATCTGGATGTGTGTTGCCGGTACATCTTCTTAAATGAGTCTGGCGGGCAAGGCGCCTTTCGGTTGCTCTTTGCTCTGGTCGCAGTTGCCAAAGCCCGGCCTGCTTGAGGCATCACAGACGTACAGGCCAGGTCGTCGGCCAGATGCCTCAAGCGTCACTCGTCACCGGCATTGCCTCACCAGACCCTCGCAGGCCTCATTATCCATACAACTTTACTCTCTTTTTCGCCCATCCTCCCCAGCTATGTGTGTGTGTGTGTGTGTATTGTAATGCCAAAATGCATATCAAGGTGCGCCGGCACATTCACACATACACGCACACACACACATGCACATACACATACAGTCAAGTTGGTACGGACAGACTCGGCGGCCCCGGGGCTATGCTGTGGTCCTCATGTTTCGCAAGTTCGTCTGTCTTCAATCGGCCGGCAGCAGCACCCAATGGCCTCAGTCGCCTGAGGGCGCTTCTGCCCGGCTCTGCTTATTACCACATCTCTTGACCGGAAAACGGTCAACATGTTTTTCGGACTTACAAGGCTCACAGTGAGGCCGGCAGACGCGTTAGTAAACTTTGGCACAGACAACATCGAAATCCCGAGTACGACTTCTTTGCGCTCCTCTCAACTTACGAAATAAGACAGCCAGTCTCTCTTTTGTTAAGTTTGTGTTTCTTCGTGTGTTTCTCCCTTTATCCGACCAGAGTTTCGCCTTGGTTCCAGCACAATTAGGCATTTTTCAATTCTTTGGTATGTCGAGAGGATGGAACGGTGGAACGGTAATCAGGGCATGGGGTCATATGGAAGACTCGGTATGCAGTTTTCTGGACTCGCAAAGAATTGAGGAGTCTTGCGCCAAAAGGGAACATGTCCAGAGAAAATGCTGAAAGACGAGCTGCTGCAACTTTGACCAGATGCGTCCTGCTTGCTTGCATTTGTTTGTCGCTTTGGAAACATCAGTTTAATAGCTTTGTGTAATTTACCGACGCTATAACAGTCCACATCAATCATTTTATTTTTATCGTAGATAAAAAGACCAAGATGGCGTGGCTTTTCGTATGTTTGCAGTCTCCTTTCGATGGGCGACATTAGTTTAGCAACCTGGTCATATTGTCAATTCTTCTGCTGTAGTAGTTGCCATAGTTACCAGCGTCGGATAGTATACTTGGTACATCCCAAGACGTGTTTCGTCGGCATCGTCGATGCGTCTTGACATTCTCTTTGACGAGTTGTAGCTTGGCACTGAGAATGGCAAGACTCACTGACGATGCCGGCGAACCACGTCTTGGGATGTACCAAGTATACTATCCGACGCTGGTAACTGGGGCATCTGCTGGGACAAAGTGCGTTCAACTAAGTCCCCAAGACAACACGACCAAGTTACGAAAACGAGATCAGAAGAATTCGGAACGTTGTTTTGCCTTCAATAAGGCTTCCTCGCCCATGCCTAATGGCATCGCTGGAGGGATTCCAAACTGGGCGGACGGATATTTTAGAAACATTGTCACCAATTAATTTGCCTTTATGTTTGAGTTGATATGCTTCCATAAGGTAATGTATGTTTTGGAAGTTGATCTCATTATTTCAAGATAATACAGAAATGAATTTTTTCCTTATTATTTAAAGCATCCAAATTCACACTTGCCGAAAAATTGCTCACATTCACCAAGTCTTGTATGACTCCTAGAACAGCCAAATGAACCACAGAATTATATCTTTTAATCTCAAACCCTTTGGTCAAGTTGAAGAAGCATGGAAGGCGAAAAAACTTCGATCCTCGTGGAACTCTAATCCTGATCTTATTCATGTATCCTATTGCCGAGAAGCTGACCTATGTATGGTCGTTTTTTTAATAATCTGATGCTTCATTTACGTCTAGGGATATTTTAATGAGATGTAGCCGAGTGGTTCGCGTGTTAAGT